TTTTTTTAAAATTTGTATTCTTTTTGTATATTTAATCATTTTATTTGATTTTCTATGTTTTAATTTATCTACTAAGTTTTATTTATTTTTTTGTTTATTGATTTCATTTGATTTATTTGATTTTTTGAGATTTAATAATTAAATCTAAATCCTCAGAGATCCGTGGGCTCTGACGCGGAGAGCGCCAGCGAGGGGATCAGCTGCACAGATGGCGAGTCAAACCCAGCAAGCACGGCGGGCTCAAACACAGGTACAGTGCTGGAAGCATCTTCAGTCTGACAGGAAGCTCCTGTAAAAGTTTCAGTGTCAGGTCATATGACCAGATGAGGTTTCCTGCGTTAGTTGACTGCTCGTTTAACCTCAGAGAATTCCGGTTTTTGGTCCGGCTCCTCGGACACACTCACCTACCTGTCGGCCAGGAAGAAGCGGAGCCAGAGTCTGCTGAGCATGAAGAAGACACTGGCTCTGATCTACCTGGCTCTGGTGTGGAGCCGTGAGGCGCTGACACTCAGCGACCTGCTCAGGTAACACTTGCACCCACCTGCACTTGTGTGGCTCAGGGGTTTTAACCAGTGTGTTTCACCTGGATGAACGTGATGTTTTGCAGACTTGTGAATGAGGGTCACATCCCGTACTTGAACGCCTATGAGCAGCTTCCCGAGGAGATGAAAGTCACGGGGAAGGACTCCCTCATCTTTGTAGTCGAGGTGAGAAAGCCGCCATCTTGTTTATTACCTGGCCCCGGTAATGATGCGTGACTTGGCTCTCACCTGGTTTCTGCAGACGGTCCCGTCTCATCACGCCGTTCATAAGGAGGCCGAGACTCTCATTCAGTTCCTGCAGCTTCCTGCTTTTCCTCCAATCAGTCAGCAGACCCTGATGCACCCGGCGCTGCTCAGCCTCAGATACCTGTCCGATGTCAACCTCCCCGGTAACAACTACTTCAATTCAATTTTATTTATATAGCGCCAAATCACAACAAAAGCCGCCTCAAGGCGCTTCATACTTCAGTGTTCTGACCGATAATGGTCTCTGCTGGAGGCGCCCTTCTTTACATACAAACACTGACAGAGTGTACCTGTACACGCCTGTTTCCTGTCAGATGAGCTCCACCCCTGGGTCTGCAGGCTGTTGGAGCACACCGGTATGATGGATCAAACGCTTCACACATTTGACCCACACAATCACCCCACCCTGCCACGGTATGACGTGCAAGCCGCTGCCCTCATCATCGTCACTCTGAAGCTGTTCTTTTGCCTGGACGACATGACCGAGTGGTACGTATCTTTCACGCCGTCAGACGACCTCCGGCAGGGCTCCAGGTGTGCTGACTGTGATTGGTTCTATCTTTCAGGCATCTGTCCAATGATCTTGGACGACAGAAGGACTCAGGTCGGATTTTTATTTATTAAAAAAAATTCATGGCACAGATGTAAGGAGCTATTCGATAACATGATCAGTTTGAAAATCAATGGCTGACTGCACGTGTTTGTGAATGACTGTATACAGATGACGAACTATGTCTGATCTTGGAACTTTTCTGCCCTTTTGACCTTTGAGCGTGACCCCTTCTAGACGTGGCTTGTGTGCGACTCTGTCTCTGTGTGGATCCACAGGTAAAGTGTTTAACCTGAGGAGGTGGTACAAAGTGATGCAGGCCGCTCTGATTCGAGCTCAAGAGAGGAGAGACCAGACTGTCTCCAGGTAGGACATCGGCGGTATTTCCCCTGAGGTTGATCTGTGTGCAGAAATCAGGTTTTAGTCCTGATTTTAAAGCGTGACGTCATTGGCGTATCTGCACACAGGAAGTTTGCAATCTTTGTGTTACGTTAAGGAATAATGGGCTCTTTTTTTTAATGTGAGTTTGACTCACTGACTCGGACACCTGCAGATGTGGAGACATTTGAAGCTGCTTAATAGCTGCTTGTGTTCCCTTTAAAAAAAAAAAAAAAAAAGATCACGATTTGATTTTTTATTTTTATTTTTTTAAACCTGTTTTCTGTTTTTGATGAAGAGTTCCTGATATGCTTTTTTTCTTCTTTTTTTCGGCAGGAAGCAGTGGAAGTCAAAGAAACAAATTTACCCAAACAAGAAAGAAAAGTGTTCGATGATTAAAAAAAAAAGTAAGAAATTAAATTGGCTGATCTTATTGTGAAAGAGAGGTGAAGTCCTGTCCTTTCCTGTATATTCATTTCTCTCTGAAAAAATTAATCTGAAGCACATGAAAAAACATCCTGAGATGCGACACGCTCCCTCTGTTGTTTGTGCAGGAATCGCAGAGCAGGTCCAGCTGTGTTTCGAGAAGCTGACTTCCTGTCCATCGGGGCTCCAGGACGTAGGACCATCAAGCTTCATATTCTGCTGGGGGGACGAGGAGGAATCGGACGGTCCCAGTCTGCACCACATGAAGCTGGACGAGGTCGTGACCCGTAGATACGACTTCCTGACTCCGCTGAACGACATGTACTGGCACCCGGCGCTCAGACGCTGCTTGTGAGTCACTCACAGCTTCAGTCTCAGGTTGAAATATCAAAATACACAAACGGGTTGATCACAGTTAAGGAAATTAAACCCAGCACACTTTGAGTTCACTCAAACTCTCAAAGGTGCTTTTTTTAAATTAAAGGTACACATTAAAATAATCAGAAATATCAGGGAATTCAGAGTGTCAGCATTTGTGGGTTTAATCTCAAAATGACCAAAGAGGAATATTTTCTCCAGAAACTTGCCTCAAAGAGAGAAACTTCCAAAGAGGAAAGTGAAGATTTCACACTTAAGAGTGTACTGCTGCTTGTATAGAGCAAAAATAGAAGATTGCACGACATAAACATCAGTGCTTGTAGTTCGCTGGTCATCAGCAGTCAGCTTTATGAAATGATTCAGTAAAAAATTTAGATTTATGGTTTTAAACCCTGGAGAATGGCCAGTAAAGGGAGTAGTACACATCTTGGCTTGAGACCTTTTGACAAGTTGTTCTCAGAGGACAGAAGTTCTGGTGAGTCTATTTGGTCGTTTAAGGCTTTAGTCATTTTAAACTGAGCTGATGACAGAGGACTGAAAATAGCGATGCATGAACAAAGAATCTTAGTGTGACGTGTCGGGAAGAAAATAGTTGGGTGGAGGAGGAAGTTACCTGCCAGCGTGGTGGAGTAATGTGATGGTTAGGAGTTGTGAGCTCTATGACGTTCACTGGCTGGTTGAAGTTTCCCCCTCAGGGTGATGACAAAGCGGTGATTATATGGAGATGTACTGGTGTTTTGTATGTCATGAAGGTTGGACTGATGTTGCCTCACAGACTGGACGCTGGGTTTGATCGCTTACAGAATGACGCTTCTTACCTCATCATGTCTGTGAAGGGTTTCGGTCATCCAGGTCATCATAGTCTAAGGAGCTTAGAAAAGCGTCTGGACTTCTTTAAATTTCTTGGGAAGCTTCTTCAGTTCCTACTGAGGTCAAATGGCCCCGGATGTCAGTGTCTGGGAAGGATCTCAAAACTGGATTATAGATGGCAGACAGTTGGTGTCATAAGCCCCGCCCTCTGTTTAAAGATGGTTGTTCACAGTAGACATAGATGGCTTTTTTTCCACTCCTCTTTCAAACCAGAGAAGACATTCTCTGTCCAAAATGTAGACATTTGGGGCATCCTTTCTCTTGGGGAATCTCCAACAATTGCTCTTAGAATTGAAGATGCTTCTCAGATGAGAACGAAACGTCTTCAAGAAACTTAAAGAAGTCCAGATGCTTTTCTTTCCAAGCTCCTTCGATTCCTTCGATGCTCATTAGTGGTTTTTAAACTGATTTGCTGAATGAGATCTCCTGAAAGACCTCAAAGTTGTGACGGGGCCCGACAACAAACTGATCCCACATCATAATGCCAAATTTTTCCCCATCTGTTCAAACGTTTCCATGACGATGAATCATTGACACTTAAATCTTGTCTCCTTCTCCTGTAGGTGCTACAATAGTCATTACAAGGAGGTGGAGGCAACGCTGCCACGCTCCTTCATCTGGCTGATGCAGCTTTTCGCCTTCATGTTCGACGTGAAGCCGTTTTGCCTCTATGAGGAGGTCCTGAGTGTGGAGAGGAGGATCTTTGACACCAGACTGTACAGAGGGAAGAGCAAGGCCAATGCCGGGGCTTCGGCTGAGACCGCCGGGGCTTCACCCGAGGCCCAGGCTTCACTCAACACCCGGACGTCACAAAGGATGACCCGGACATCACCCAGGACGGCTGAGGCTTCACTCGGGACCTGGGCTTCACAGAGGAAGCGGCAGAGAAGTAAGAAGAGCTGAGAACTTGCAGCATCTGTGGGACATTTGGCTGTTTCTGCTGCCTCCATGTTTTTGTTTAAACCAAAGACATTTTTAATAAACGTAAAAGGGCTGCTCTTGTCTTTGATTAATTGCATTAAAACTGATTTTTCTGTCAATAGAAAGAAAATTTGGTCAGAACGTTTCCTAAAAAGGAGAGAGAAATCTCTCTAAAGGAGGAAAAGATTTGTAGTTTGAACAACAGGATCTGATGGAGAGTCGCAGCATCGGATTGGGAATGGTATCTGGTACCTGGAAGACTGATGGATGTGTGCATGTGATGAGGGTGTAGTTCTGCGTGTGTGTGGATGGAGCTGGAAGAGCTTTTAAATTGTGTAGATTTAAAGTTGTTAAACGTGCTGTCCTGAATATTTGAGCAGACTGCGTGACTCTCCAGGGGACTGCTCTGTGTGCCGTGGATGAACAGGGGTGCTGCACTGACTCAGAGTGACCAGCAGGAGGTGATGTTCAATCACACTAATGGAGAGCAGCCTGTTACAGGTAGCACACACTGAAACTGCTCTGAGGTCAGTTACAGCAGCAGCGCCGAGCAGCTGGCCAGATGTTTCTGGAAAAGTTGAGCTCAGAGCTTCTTTTGGCTGCTTGATTCTGTGGCTCCTCCTCCTTCCTCTGCAGCTGAATGTTTTTTGGGCGAGTTTGAGATCTTCTGGCTTCAGAAGCTGGAAAACAGCTTGTGGTTGTAGTATGAAGGGTGGAGGCAGCTGTAGTTTAGAGGAGCAACTAAGGACATATTTACCTCAGCTGACCTCCATCTGACACAGGGTGACCTTTACTTCATGTACAGTCTGCGCCGTGTTAATATATCTTGACCTCAATGATTGAAAAGATTGTGAACAGCTGTCTCTGCTGCTGGGCAGATGGCGGCAGCAGCAGAGACAGCTGTACTAACCCTAACTGTTGACTAACCAAAGGTTAAAGGTGAAGCAGTGTTTCAGGTCTTACTCTGGTCTGTTACTCGTGTCAGTCCTGTGGAAGCGGAACTGCTCACCTCTGGTTTCCACCTACAGAAGAAGAAACTGTGGCCAACACGTGACCTTTTGTAATGTTTTCTTACTATAAACCCCTGAATTGTGCAGGTTTAGCTCATAACTGAGCCTTCTTTTTATGAATGCACCTGCCCACTACTTAAAGAGGTTGATACTGTCTACCATTTTAATTTACATTTTATTACTCACTGTGAAAATATCAAAAAATACTGTTGTCTGTATGCTGCTGCTAAATGTCCATCTCTGTATATCTGCAGACTTTCCCATTGGTTGGTGTTTATCTATAAATCTCTCCTCGGGCTGGTTCCTTCTTATCTGTGTGTTTATGTGTAAAAACCACAACCAATATAGTCTTCACTCTCACAACGTCATACAAATGATTTTTTTTTTTTTTCTTGAAATCAAAACAGAACATGGGAAAAGAGACTTTTAAATACGCTGTGCCTGTTTCTTGGAATTATCTACAGAAGGAACAAGGTGGAGTTTAAATCTATTTTAAAGAGAGAACTCTTCTAGTCAGTGTGACTGTTTTTAATGTCGCTCTTAATGATGTTTTTACATATTATAAATGTATTTGTTTTTTACTTGTTATGTCTTGTAACTTTTGCCGCCATAATGGCCACTGGAAATGTTTTAAATCTAAATGAGACATTCACTTGGATAAAGGATATTAAAGTGTGTCCCGGGATGGGCGTCCAGGTACACACTGGCTCACTCCTTGGTGGCTGCTTGTCGGGGCCTGGAGCCTGGGGCTCGCT